TGTCTAGGCGGAAGGGGAGAAATGTAACATTCGGAATGGAATGATATGTAGATACACACGCCATGGTCGAAGGTGTGGTTGGAGTGATGGTGATGGTGGTGGATGGTCGGATGGGTGACTGGTGGCAACTGAAACAAGTAATCGAAATAAAACGAACGACGTATTTTGAACCAAACACAAATCAGTTTAATCCTTAAATAAAACATAATTTCTGTTATGTTATATAATAATTAAATAAATAAATAAATAATCGGTAGTAGTAGTAGTAGTAATAGTAAGTAGTAGCAGTAGTGGTGGTTTTGGTGGTGGTTACAGTAAGTAAAGTTATAGCGGGTGGTAAGAAAATTAGGCGGTGGCGGATGTTAAGAAGTAAATCGAAGCGAGTTAAAGACCTAGTTTTCCTCGTCTCGGTTCCTTTCCTTTCTTTCTATCGTATTCTTTTCCTTATCTTTCTTTTTTTGGCTTTTCGTCGAAGTAGTGGTTAATAGTAATAATAATAATTCGTAATAATAATAATAATAATAATAATAATGGCGATGACGATGGTAATAATAGCAATAATAATAATAATAATAGTGATAATAATAATAACCAGAATAATAAGTTTAATTAATATACGTGATAATAATTATGAGAAGGAGAAGATTAATCATTTATAATAGTTAAATGTAACCGTACGCGGTGTAAGAGCTTCTCTACCCTAATATACTCACAAGGGGGTCAAATATGTCTTACACACGATTCACCCCTCCGTTCCACGCACACCTCATCGTCGTCGTCGTCGGTTCCTTTCACCATCGAGAATCCATCGAAAATCCATACACTTAAACCCCATGGTGGGTCAGCTGTCGAGCTTCTTATCGTTCTCCATTAAAACCGTATCTATTCTGAGATCATTCTTTTCGTCTCGTCGAAGCAAGCGTCGTCGAACGGTGGGGTGAAACGCGTTTCAGTCGAATCCATCCTCCTCGCCTACGGTCGATCCTCGTGACCCATGGCCAACAAGGTATCGTATCGTCAGACGATGTTTTGTGTTTTTTGTGTGTATATAATTTGCACTAATCATCGAGATCCTCTTCGACCAGACGCCGGACCGCGACACCACAACGATCGTGTTCCTCCTTCCGTCTGTCTGTCATCGGGGGACAAAAATTCGCAGAAAGGACGACGCGACCGACGGCCACGGCCTGGGCCGGGCTACAAATAAATAAAATAAAATCTTAGCAGTATAGCATCTGTTGCTTGAGGTTCAAATTACGTTTTCTTTGGCAGGCCTGGGGACAGACGACCCCGCCGCAGCATGTTCTCACCGACGTTTATACTCTTTCGACGGTGAGAACCACTGGCTATCACGCCCCACCCAGCGCCTCCACGGACTAGACACAAAAAGGTACACATAAATAGGACAACATATACACGCTACGCTTCCATCTCTCACGTAAACACTAAATCTAACAGCTTAAGAAATTTGTCGCTTGTTTCTTTCTTATTCTTTTTTTTTTTTTTCGTTTCTCACGATTAAGTACTCTCCACACGATCCTGTGCCAGCACTCGCGGTTTCCGTTTTTTTTTCCCCATGGTGTGTGCAGCGTTCGACGCAAAAGCACGGTGCAGAACTTTCGTTCGGATGAACGGGATTATACTTATCTATAGGCTTTGGATTTGAACGTTCTTTTTCTTTTTCTGTTTGTTGGAACACGATAGCTGTTTTCAACAAGGGAAACACACGACTCGAGAACAAAAGTTCTCTTCTACTTTTATTCTCAGTCTCTGTGGACGATCATATCCGAACGAAAGTCTCTGGCGCCTCATCCTTAATCAGCTACCACCTTTGTTTGTTCCCAGAACTATTTTCGAGAGATCACGGTGACCGTAGAAAGAGCGAATCTGAATTTCCAGGAGTGTATCTAGCGTCTGCAGAGAAATGGGCCCAAGTGTTCTCTCGAGGTTTCTCGTCAACGGATAGATTCGAGAATCTACCCTTCAACCACCGCGTTCATGGTACCATTTTCCAGTGGATTCTATATACACACACACATCGAAATCACATAAAATCTACTCTCCTGAATCAGCCTGTACACACCATTGGTGGAAAACCGCGAGCGACAACACGGTTCGTTTCACCCTTTACGCGCGGTCCTCTTCTCTATCGTGTCTGATTATTACCCTTACTACGCTAAAAAAATAAAAACGAACAAAAAACAAAAAAAAAAAAAAACGAGATCTGTCGTTCCAGTGGAGAGTTTACTACTTTACTTGCTGTGAGTTTTTGTAGCGGCTTCGAACGCCTCTTTGCACGTAGACTAGACACGTGTTCCGCCGACGATCGACGGTGCCTCGTGGTTTGCACACCTAGCTGTCCATCGATCGTCCCCCGTCATCCCTATCACATTAACCGTGCACCGTTCTCGAGCGATCGTCACAAGCTAATTCGTCGAATCGATCTCGGTTTTGGTACGTTGAAGTGCGTTCCTTTTCCTAGGGTCGAAACAAGAAAAGGAGAGGGAACAAACACAGCAACCGATGCTTGAATTTGGTACTTCTAAAACAGAAAAAAAAAATCCAAACGGGAGTATTTCGAGTTTCGTGGATGTTTCCATCGGTGTGTTCCACGTGAAAAAAAGTGACAGGTCGACCGGAAGTTCCTCCGAAGCCGGTGCGGACACTTCATTTCTCGAGGATACACGTTCAGACACTCGAGAGGCTCCCCGGGAATACGCTAAAAAGTTGTATCAGACTGCTCGAGAAAAGCACATTTCTGTTTGTACTAGGCTAAGATCGTCGTCGCGCGTGAACAATGGCAAAAGAAACGAAGAATAATACAAGTGAACGGGGTGAGGAGCTTGTGGTGTGTGATTCCCGGGTAAACGACTGTTTTCCACTTTTCTTTTTTCGACGCGCACAAGGAGCCTGACTAGCAAAAATGATCACGTGGTTTACGGGGCTCGCATGAGTGCTCACACAGAACCGACGTAATCCCTCGGGTTCGCGATGGCTCGTCATCGTTAACGGCTCACCAAGCAAGATATATATGTATAAATATATATATATATATCTCCTTTATTAGCACGTTAGACCCTAAAGTAGTCTTCTCAATCTTAAATACCGTACAATATATACGTATATATATTATACTTCGTGTCTTTCCGATGACCGTCCGTTAAAGCACGGCCGGACGGTGTCTTAATTCAACTACAGATTAGAAGTTTACGGGTATTAAGTACGTTTCTCAACTTCTCGACGGTTTCTACAAACGCGAGCCTAATCGTTCTCCGTTTCCACCTTTGGTTTCGTTTCGATGCTACGTCACCACACCTCGGAGCAACTATCGAGGGTTTAATCTCTAGACGGCTGGCCGTTCCCAGTTTTTGGAATCGTAGTTCTCTGAGAGTAAACCGTGTGTGTTTTTCTCTCGATCCACGCGAAGAGCAGTGTTCCATTCGTCAAGAGAAAAACTCCATCGGTGTGTATATACCGTAGCGCGTTAAATCACACTGACCAGTTCCTTCGTTTTTCGCGTATCCTCCAAATACCCAGATCCAAGAATCGATCGATCGTCCCTGTCCATCCCTTCCCTGTCACGCTCTCTTTAACTCCGCGCTTTACTCGCCCTTTCTTTCTCTCGATATCCACCCACACGCACCCTTATTTCGTGCGTCTGTCCTCTCCCCACAATCAGGGAAAACGTGAGACGTTTTAAACGGCGATGTGCGCCTTGAACCGCGTTTCCGCATACGCGATCGATCGAGGACTACAGCAAATACTTTTAACCCTTTCAGGGTATACCCCAGCGTAGCGTATGTCTATGTACTTTGCACACTGTCATTTCCCATACGCATCGACATTCTTGACTGGTACATTGAACTATTGCGGTCACGAAACTACCGAGGCTGGACGTTCTCGAGTTATTCTCGAATATAAATGCTCACAGAGGTCTTCAGTCCACGCGTCGAGCGCGTCTCGTGTGTCCAAACCCTCTGTGAACGGGTGTTCACACGGGAAAGGGTTAAAAGTATGCTCCAATGTTCTTCTCCAGGACGTCTATTCATCGTCGGTTCGTCACGAACAATCGTGGCCTCCAGACTTTCTTCCCCCTATAATGTTCCGAGCTTCGTACCGCGAACTTCTACCGGAAAGAACTCCGTTTCAATCTCACAGCCTGACGCCATTACCCCGTTGTTCGATCGCGTGGCAAAGAACCAGAGGGAGAGAGGGGGGATGGGTGTAACACCGGAAGCCACGAACAACGGCTCGCGTGCCGTGGTAACCAAAAGATTGTATCTCTCCACCCCCTTCTTCATTGCCATTTTTTTTTCTCCTTTCCCACTGTACGGTTCCATCGATCCCTCCCCCATGAAAATGAACGCGTGGCCGCGGGCCCCCACGTGCCACCGCGTGCGTATATACATAAATCATTAATATGTATGCGCAAGGACCGTCGGGGTGCGCGGTCACGCGAGCCAAAAGAGGACACCTCGACGTGTATTCCCCCTAGGATGCTATACCTTATCTACTAGGGCCTAGAATCTGGGTCCTAGAATCTAGGCACTAGATCGTCGATGCGCGACGGAGAGAAAAAAAGGGTCGAGTTATCGGAGAGAGCGACTAGAAGACAAGAGGAAGCTGGGGACATACCCACCAGGCGGTTAGGAAAACTCAAAGAGAATCCAAGAGCTCCTCTGACACACTCGAGCGTACCCCCTAACCGGTCCTTCGAGCTTCTATACGGTCTACAATTTCGGATAATCGGACGACGATTGAACGGCGCGTATCGCGACCTACAAGATCCTCTTCGACCTTCTCATTGTTCTACATACACACACAGACACACGTACACACGCGTCATACATTTTGTCCTCGCATACATACATACACACACACGTGTACGTATCTTGTTATCAATCATCCTAATTCACGCATACACTCTTT